ATGTATCTCAGTGTTAAGGTCCTGGGTTTAATCCCCAGTGAATGAGAGAGAGAGAGAGAAAGAACAATGAAGAAAATCAGTGAAATCAAAAGTTGGTTCATTGAAAAGATCAGTAAAATTGGCAAACATTTAGTGTTAAACTGACAAGAAAAAAAGGAAAGAAAAATCAAATTAATAAAATTAAGAATGAAAAAAGGGACATTGCTACCTGCCTTATAGAAATCAAAAGGATTATTATAAACAATTTGGTGCCAAGAAATTATGTTAACCCAGATTAAATGGACAAATTTCTAGAAAATGCAAACTGCTGATATTGACTCAAGAAGAAACAGAAAATCTGAATTGACCTATAATAAGTAAATATTGAGTTTGTAATCAAAAAACTTTCCCCAAACAAAAGCCCAGAACCAGATGGCTTCACGGATGAATTCTACCAAATGTTTAAAGAGGAATTAACACAAATCCTCCACAAACTCATCCAAAAATCAGAAAAGGAAGGAAAACTTGCCAACTCAGTCTGAGGACATTACCCTGATACCAAAACCAAAGACCTCACCAAAGTAGATGCAAATCTATATCTATATCCATGTCTACATCTATCTCCTAAGCTCAACGATATCCCCTTGTGAATATAAATGCAAAAATCCTCAACAAAATACCACCAAGGCAAATCCAGCCACATATAAAAACGATTATATATCATGACCAAAGGGAATAACGCAAGAATGCAAGGTTTGTTACACATATATCAATCACAATACACTACAGTAACAGACTGAAAGACAAACACATGACTGTCGCAAAAGACAGGTGCAAAAGACAAAAGCCACGTCTCCAGCTTCTTAGCACAAAACCCAGCCTCAGCCTCAGTAAAAGCCAATTCCACCCAAAGTCCACAAGACTCTATGTGACCTGGCCCCATCTCCCCTCTGTCCTCACCTCCCTCCTTCATTCTCTCTCTCCTCACTAACCACCACAGCCTCCTTGCTCTTCCTCACACCCAGACACACTTCTGACTCAGGGCTTCCAGTTCCCTCTTCCTAGAACACTGTCCCCCCAAGTATCCATGCAATTCACTCCTTCACCTCTGCAAGTCTTCATTCAGTGATAACACTCTGAGGCTAGAGATGAGGCTCAACAGTAAAGAGCTTGCTTAACACATGCAAGGCCCTGTGTCTGAGCTCCAGCAATGCAAAAATCATAACTAAAGCTGGGCATGGTGATGCACGCCTGTAATCCCAGGATTTGAGAGGCTGAAGCAGGAAGATCACTGAGTTCAAGGCCAGCCTGGCTGGGCTACCTAGTGAGTTCAGGGCCAGCCTGAACTATATAGCGAGACTCTATCTCAAAATAACAACAACAACAACAATAATAATAATACTAGTCACCTCCTCAATGACCCCTCTCTGGCCACACTATATAAAATTGCAGCCCTCTCCCTCCAACACTTATACAATCCCTATTTCCCTTCCCCATTCTACTTTTCTCCTAAGCACTTATTATCTGAAATATTATGAATTTTACTTACATATCCTGCTTGTCTATCTCCCCAAGTAGAAGTAAGCTCCCTAAGGACGGAGATATTTTGGACTGTTTTATTCACTGCTACATCTGCAGCAATTAAACTGACATGCCACAGAATCAACTCTCAGTATCTGCTGAATGAATACATGAATACAAATAGCTTGTCATTTGACTTCACTCAACAAGCATCGATTACCTCCACCTTCCCCCATGTCAGTTTGGGGCCAGTGTGCTTGGGGCCAGTGTGCTGAGAAAGGCAGGAACCAGACTGGGGCTGGGAAAAGACTCAGAGTGAAATAACCCAAGGAAGATAGACTAAGGATGGGGCAGAGGGCCAGGCCAGCAATTAGGGAAGACTACGTGGAAAGACAGTGTGGGGCAGGCCCTTGAAGGCCTGGAATGATCTGGGCATAAGGCGAAGGGAGTGGGGCTGGGGGAGTGGGGAGGAGGGAGCATGGGGCATGTCCAGGAGGGAATCAGCGTGGGTCCTGCAGGGTGGGACTGCACAGACACAAAAGGTCAGGCAGGTTGTCAGAGTAGTTCATGACGGGCTTTGAATCCTAAGACAAAGAGTTGGACCTAAATCCAGAGATGCTAGGGAGCCATGCAAGGCCTTTTGAGCAAAGAAGGTCCTTGGTATCAGAAAGCTCACCACTGTGAGCAGTATGGAAAGAGCAGAGTCTGACAGGTAAGCAGGAAGGTAGCTCTAGGGCAGGGCTGGAGAAAGACAAGGCATGAGCAGGGGCAGGGAGGAGGGGTTAGGCAGGAGAGGGTAGATGCAAAGGCTTTGTAAATGACGGCTGGTGGGGGAAGAGTGAATCTCAGGTCAGAGCCTCTGAGAGCATCACAGAGGCCCAGAGCCGCGGAGTGGGAGGCTGGAGCTCTGGTTGTGGGCGCAGCGCTGCTGGGTGCCCTGCAGGCCAAGCGCCTCTCCAGTGCTGGATGATGGGCACCTCCTGGCCCACCCACCCTCCCCAACTTTGGCCCCCAACACAGGCAGGCCCAAGAGGAGTTTCTCCAGTGGCTTTGGCGGCCAAGACGCAATGTCATTTCTAGATCTGGAGATGCGCCAGACTGCAGGGTGGGGGACAGCTGTGTCCCCGAAACACAGCCAAAAAGCAGCCTCCTGGAGCCAACCAAGACAGTGGCAGAAGTAGGGCTGGCAGGGGGTCTGCACTCCAGCTGGCTGATGGGGGTGACAGGCCTTTGATGGGGCCTCCATCTGCCTGGGGCTCAATGTCCTGTGAGGTGGGGCCCCATCAGCCCCCACCAGCTCTTACCAGCCAGAAAACGCCATCCCAGTCCCCCACCAACCCAGTCAACGAGCATGAAGGCATTTCTTAGTGCCATTGTTTGGCAGCTGTTTCCCACCCAGGTGACAAGGGGCAGCACTAGGTGAAGGACGCAGACTGGGTGTCCTTGGGATTGGTTGGAGTTTTGTCTGTCCTTCTCTGGGCCTTAGTTTTCAAACCAGTCAAGTGGGGAAGGAGAAACCTTCCCATGACAGCGGTCACGAGAACTCAGTAAGGCCTGCAGGAGGCCTCTTCTCTCTCCAGGCCACTGAGCTGAAGCCCAAGGCTGAGGACAGTTCAGGGAAAGGGTACCAGCTTGCACAGGGGAGGCTCTAAAGTAAGGGGAGCCATTTATTTTTTATCTTTGAGAGAAAATCTCATTAAGTCCCTAAGTTGCCCAGGCTGGCCTCAGACTTGTGATCCTCCTGCCTCAGCCTCCCAGTGAGCTGGGATTATAGGCATCCACCACCATCCAGCTAAGAGGCCCTTCCTAAAATGAGTGAGGGACTTCAAGCAACCTCCTTCCCCAGAAAGGACACTGCTTACCAGGAGGGAAACCAACCTTTTTCCCTGGCTGGACACCCTAGGGCCACCTGAGAAGCATCACTTCTTCCGTCCACCCTGACACCAGTCATGTGGCATCTGAGGATCTAGGGAGGATGGGCCCTGGGGCCTGATGGTCCCTGGAGAAGCAGGAGTGCTGGGTGCCAGATGAGGCAGTCTGCAGGGTGGGGTAAGGGGAGAGGGCAGCAGTGGGGGTGGCTGCCCTTCCTAGCTTATCCCAGGGGCGAATGGACAGTGTGGAGAGTCACAATGGTCATGAGAAGGAGTCCCACCTGGCTGCCTGCAGAGGCAAAAGCACCCAATTGAAAAGGAATTTGGGGGTGCTACAGCCAGGTTAGGGGCCTCCAAAACACAAAAGTGTTCCCAAGCCTAGTGTCCGGCCATGGAGGGCACTGACAACAAAAACAACTCCAGACCCAGGTGATGCTCGGCCATTCCCAGTCGCGTTCCTCAACCACTCAGCTCTGGAGCGGTCAGAATCAGCACAGTGGTGGCTTCAGGCACAGAAGACGGAAAGAGGAGCCTGGGGCAGATGATGGCTCACCCTCTTCCTGGTGCAGCTTTATTCAGAACTAGAGCCAAACTTGTGATTTAAATGAGAGCAGATTTTTTAGTGCACAAGTGTGACTAGAAAGGCTATGAGACCTGATCATGGGTCTGGACTGATGGGAGAACAATAAAGCCAGTGTCGATTTGCAGTCCAAATCCAGCCTCCCCAGGGAACCTGGTACACAAGTCCATAGAGGTGGGGACTCCACAATCCAGCCACAGAGCCCAGGGCATGAAGTGGAGGGAGGGAGGGAGGAAAGTTCCAGCCCACCTGCTTGTGGCAGAGCTGGTGCCATCTTCCCAGAAGCAGTGGTCCCTTCCCATTTGGGGGAAAAGGCAGGGTTGGAGCTGTGGGGACCTGGGAACACTGCTGCACACAGGGAGACTTGGGATTTGGTCCTTATCTTTTGGGCTTCTTGTCTGGGACAAGACCTCACACACCTGCCTGGGAGCTGTATGGAGTCCAAACACAGGCTGCGTTCAAGCAGGAGCAGTGAGCTCAGGGCAGTCTGTGGAGCTTTGTGCGGGTAGCCTCCGAGTTGGGTCTTGCAGAAAGAGAAGGGTTTGGGGGTGCACAGAGAGGGAATGGTGCCCTTAGTGGGGAGATCAGATACCAGCAAAGGCTGGGAGGTACCAGTGCCCGTGTCCCTGGGACAGCCAGCATGTGAGCCGCATGGAGGAATGTGATGGGAGAGGGGCTTGGGAAACTGGCTGTTACCCTGATTGTCGCCCTTCAAGCAGGGCCAGCAGGGGCTGCACTCTCCTCACCTGTAACCTGGGAGAGTTCCCCTGTCTCCTTGGGCTCATGACATTCCCTGGGAACAGATGCATCCCATTATCCCAAATCAAAGTCTTAACCAGGAGCTCAGAGGACAGGTGGTACTGTCAGAAAGGCATAGGTTCAAACTCCAGGTCTGTCCCTTCCTAGAGGCCCAAATCTGAGTAAACCTCCACTTACTCGGCTGTGAAATGGGGATAACAAGACCCCAGAAGACACAATCACCAATCTGGCATGGTGCATGCCTGTAACAAGAGGGTCCCCCACCTGCCTCCAAAGGGGCCCTCACTTACATAAGAGGCCACAAGGGTGGATGGGGCCAGGACGAGAGCCAGGTAGAGGCAGGGCGCTGTGGCCAGCAGGCTGGAGGCACAGATGAGGGGCTCAGCCCGGGGGTTGACTTTCTTGTACCTCCTGGCAGCCTCTGCCCCCAGGATGACACCAACGATGCCGGTCACAACAGTTAGGGTCCCAAAAATCAGGCTGATGGGAGAGAGCAGAGAGGGCTTGGTCAGCCCTTCCTCCAGTCTAATCCCAGGTCAACCAAGCCAGACCTCACCCCAGCTGATACTCCTGCGACCTCAGGAGCCTGATTAGAGTCCCATGTTCTCTCCCTGCCACCCCATCTCCTTTCCTGCCCCTCTCTGGGGATGCCACTGCCCATGTGAGTGACCGGCCCTGCACCCCAGCACCCCAGTTCCCAGCCTACTGCATCTCCAGTGACCATCTCTACCCTCTCTCCAACCAAAATTGCCCCCTCAGAAACCTCAGTTATATCTAGGGTCACACTCTGGCCCCAGCCTTCTCTTTCAAGAGGAACGGAGCAAGCGAACCCTTGTATACTGAGTTGCTGTGACATACTCAGTCCTTGTCTGGCTTTGTGTACACCTCTCCTGGAATCCTGTCCTTCCATTCCCCCCAAGCGGCCCCTCCTGACATCAAAGGCACAGTGAGACCATGGCAGTGTGAGCCCTTGGAAACCCCAAGCCAGCCAGGATCTTCCTGCCCCTCTGTGGCACCCTACTATCCTCAGCACAAGCTCATGGCCAGTACTCATGCCCTGGGGGACTGGCCCCTGCTGACCTGTGTGGCTGCCCCTCTCCACTCCCCCCCAAACTCTGCACAAACAACTGAGAATTCTTTAAAGTCATCCTTTGTTTTCTGGCTTCCCTGCCTTGGCCCATACTGTCCCCTTAGCTCTGAGCTCTGTTGCTCCCACCTGTCCCAGACCCTTCTCCTCCTGGCCACATCCCCTTAAACAAGTCCAGAACTGTGTGAGATGGCTGAAGCCCTGCTGTTACTCCAAATCTCCCCCCAGGATTTAAGAATGTGATTAGTGCAAGATGTCACTGACAAACTGAGTACCACAAAAACCACCTCCCTTAGCTCTAAGTATCTTCTGTGAAATGTCCAACCCACATTCATTCCCTATCCCATCCCCTCAGTGTGTAGAAGAGAGGGTGGAGCCTAGAGAGCGGAGGAACTTGCCTGAGGTCACAGAGCCCGTGAAGGGCAGAGACAGAGCTTCCTACCAGATGGAAGCATGTGTGTATTTTGGCAGCATCAAAGTCCTCACCAACCCTTCCCAGCCTTCCAAGCCCAGCAAGCCTCCAGCTCAGCCATGTTAAGTGACCCCAATCCTGGATGAATGTCAGTCACCTTTGAGTCCTGGTTTGAGCTGGCCTTGGCAGGTTCTCAGGACCTTTTCGAGACGTAGGATTGATTATTCAAACAGGCAGCATGGCCAGTGCCCCCGCTACTGGCCCCTGAGCAGGAGGCAAGACCAGAGGACAAGGCCCAGCCACCAAGCCCTTTGAGCTCCCTTCCCCCACACCATGCCCTGCCCAGGATCACACTCTCAGGGGAAAGAGGGTCCCTACGGGTCTATAAGTTCTGTACTGCTCCCCTACACAATGGCCCCGGCAAGTGGCTGTTCCAGCCCCACTTACACACCCCCAGGGATGGGAAGCTCAGTACCTCCCATGCAGCCTCTTCTCCTGGGCCACTTCAGTTCAGAGAGTTGGAAGTTCTCCCTGTGGCTGCCCAAAACCCTGTACCCTGTAGCTTTCTGCCCCGGCCCTGCCCATACCCTGGGCCTGTCCTGATCATGAAATGTATATCAGTTCTGTGCAGAACTCCAGCTTGAAATCCTTTTGCCACTCGAGGGAGGGGGCTGAGTAACAACATCCCAAGATGTCCTAATCTCAAAGACTTTCTATGGAAAAAGGCATTTTGCAGATGTGATTCAATTAAAGCTCTTGACACAGAATAATTTTTCTGCATGCAATCACACCTGTGCTCATTAGAGGGCAGCAAAGAGACTTGAGCCAGAAAAGGGGAAGGCTTTGCAACCATGGATGCAGAGATTGGAGTGATGTGGCTACAAACCAGGGAATGCCCGCAGCCACCAGCAGCTGGAAAAGATGAGGAACAGATTCTCCCACAGAGTCTCCAGGAGTGTGGCCCTGCTGACACCCTAATTCAGGTCCACTAAAAGCTCCAAACTTACGAGAAAAAAAATTTCTGTTGTAAACTACCAAGTTTGTGCCAACTCAGTATATGAGTCATGAGAAACTAAACCCACCCCTTCAGTTTGTCACATTGGTCTGTGCAGAGCTGAGTGGGAGAAAAGGGAGGGACTTGACCAAGAATGCATAGCCCATTGATGCCAGAAGTGGAGCTGAGTTCTGTTTTCTCCCCACTTTTTCCAGTTGATAGAGGGTTTCTAAGATTCAGTGCACCTTTGCCTCCAGAGAGAGAACTGTCTAGTTGTGGAGCCAAGCAAACATCACAGTCTCACTCCGCGCATCCATTCGAAAGCTTTCCCTGAGCACCTACTATGTGCCAGCAAACCCCTGCCAGGTGGTGGGAGCAATGTTCAAGTCAATCACCAGCAACAGGCAGTCTCCAGAGGCCACAGGACATGGGGCTTCTGAGCAGCAGCTTTGAAGCTGCACTGGTTTGAATTGTGGCTCTCTCACTCAGCTGTATGACCTTTGACAAGTCACCTGACTTCTCTGATCTTCCATCTGCATGTTTGTAACACAGGAATAATAGGAAAGCCTTCCTCTGAGGGCTCTTTGGGTAAAATGCCTGGCACAGGGCCTGCACTAATGTGAAAGTTGTGATGATGAGAAAAGCAAAGGGAGCTAGTGGCAGAGGACACAGCTGGAGCAAAGGTGCAGACAAGTGAGAAGCCATGGACATTCTGGAGACTGTGCAAAGCTCTCTCTAGGTGTCAGGGAGTGAGGTAGAGACAAGAGGGGAGGCTGGGGAGGAGCAGGTAAATTGGGTGTGGCTGACAGAGAACCATGCCACCTGCTGAGGCCCCAGGAGAAAATGGGGCTCTGGGGACGACGAGGATCCGCACCCCTAAGGAACTCCAAGCATCCAGAAGGGCAGGATCAAGGCAGACAAGGGGACACAAGGCAATGGAAAAGTACTAAGCAGAGAGGATGGACAAGGAGGGCAGACAAATGAGACAAGATGAAAGATGGCCTCGACTCAGTGTCAGGAGGTCCCAGAGTCTTTGGAGCATGGGGATGGAGGTGGCGGAGACAGAAGAGGAGCCCAGCAGGGCAGAAGGAATGCAGGGAGGGTGTGGGGTGGGCATCCCCTGAGGGCAGAGGGCCACCTTCCACCTCCCAGCAGCTTTTCTTGGGCTCTTGGAGAACTAATGAACACATTCATGAAAGCCCAGAGACAGAGACACAGAGGCCCCAGTGCCTCAGTCTGCAGGCAGGAAGTGGAGCGACCTCTCAGAGGCATTAGGAGCCCCTCCAAAGGACACAGGGCCATTACCAAAGACTTCTGTCAAGGCCGGGGATGTAGCTCAGTGGATCCACTGCCTGCCTTGCAAGCACAAGGCCCTGAGTTCGATCCCCGGTACAGCAAAAAAAAAAAAAAAAAAAAGCTTCTGTCATCTCCCATGACCCACAGAAGGGCCCCTCCCCCTGCGGTCCCCTCTGGACCCCCACAGCATCCCTATAGTAGAAGACTGGGATTTTGCCTACAAAGCACAAGAGAGCTGGCCAGAGCCCAGGCCTCCTGCCTGCCAACTGGGTCCCCAGCCCTGTGGTCATCACAGCACACCACAAGTCCAGAAAGACAGAGTTTGAGGTGCACAACCTCCTGAGAATTTGTGCCCAGAGTCCCCCACTGCTCTCCCTCACCTGTCCCAGCTGCTGCACGGCTCCTGGAAGCAGGGCAGCTGCAGTCCATGTACCACACGGGCCTCAAACAAAAACTTGGGGGCCCAGAAGCCCAGCGCTCCAGTCACAAAAGCCATGGCTGTCACTCCGAGGGTTGACCACACAAAACTCCAGCTGTAAGAGAAAGAGACCTGGCTGAGGTAGAGAGAGGACTAGGACTAAGGGGTCCACTGCCTCCACCCAACCAGATATGCAGGCTCCAGCTTCCAGGTCCTTCGAAGAAACACCCTGCACTCCAGCCTCCCTGACGTCCCTGAGACATCATCCATAACCCAGTTCCCCTGCCTGGCTCCCACTGCACCTGCTCCACCCTTGTAGGACCACATCTCCCCATCCTGGCGGCCCCAACCCAACATTATATTCTCTGGGAACCTGTTCCTGCCTGCCGCCATTGCCCTCAGAGTCCCAGTCCCAGTCTCCTGGCTCTGGGACAAAGAGAGCTAAGCATTGTCATTTGCCACACTGCAGTGAACCCTGAGGCATGGGACTGCAGTTGCTCCTGCCTGGCTTCCCACGTGCCTGGGACAGAGTCCAGGGCACTGCTGTGAAGCTTGGAGAGGTGGTGTTGAGCTCCCAGGATCCTCCCGTCAGCCCAGAGAAGCAGTAAGGTGGGGAAAAGTACCCATCAGGTAAATGAGGAAAGCAGGGCTCCAAGTCTCAGGGTGGCAGAGGCAAGGCTGGAGGTCATGCCACTTCCCCCCCAGCAGCCCACACTTCTGTCACATGGGGATATGATGGGGGCTGAGTCCCAGGTGACAGAGGGGCATCTCAGTAGGTCAGGGGAGCTCAGAGAAGGAAGAGGGAAATGAACATGGAAAAACCAGGGAGGGCTTCCTGGAGGCAGAGGGAGAGTTGGGCATGCTGGGGAACTGGGGGTTTTCTATGGCTTGGGGTGCAGGGACACTCACTTTCTCCCCAGGTATCTGACATCCTCACACCAGCTGCTCCTCAGGGCCCGAACGGTCACCTCCCCCTGCCTCTCAGCAGCTCCTCGGGGTGGATCTGGAACCAGCAGGATGAGCAGGATCAAGGCCACAACCTCCAGGCAGGGCATGATCTGGGGACAAGAAGGCTCAAGGTCACATGCAACTGTGGCCTGGGAGACCCAGGGGAGACCAGCCAGTATCTGAACCCTGAGGTCCAAGCCCTGGGTCCTAGGTGCTGCTTATATTTAGAGCTGGACACACTACTATTCCTTGCACCCTTACCCCGGAGGGTACAGCCTTGCTAGGAAGTGGGGTGCCCTCACCCAGTATAGATGCTTCTCTACTGAGATGGGCAGAAGTGAGATGGCTGAGAACGGGAACTCTGACCACTGAGTACGTGCTGCTCCAAGACCTAACCTGCCCTTCCCCTGGTCTGTGCCTCCATCTGCCACACCAGGCCTCCCCTAGTGTCCTCCCCGGCTGCCCCCCAGACTATACTTCAAGGGTGGGGATCTCATTACCTGCCTTGGGGCAGACTTCAAATAGATGGGACCATGAGAAAGCTCTCAGTCAAGCCAAGTCAGATTGACCTTTTTTTTTCTTTTATGGCAACAAGGTCTCACTGTGTAGTCCAGGCTGGCCTCGAACTCATGGCAATCCTCCTGCCTCAGCCTCCTGAGTGCTGGGATCACAGGTGTGTGCCAGCATGGCCCGGCCAGATTGACCTTCTTGAAGCCCAACCCACCTCCGGGTCCTGATCCTGCCTGCTGTAGTCTCACATGGCAGCTCCCTCAGCATCTAGACAGCTTAGCAGAGATCTGTACACAGGACAGAACCCTCAGCCCCTCTGCCACCAGGTCCCTTCCTCCCCTGAGTGGCCCACATCCCTGCCCAAGACTGAGTGAACAGTGGCTGCAGCCCAGCAGGTATCTTCCCAGGTCTCTTGGCTCCACTGGTAACCTTTTCCTCCAGCCCTTAAAGCCTACCGAGTGCTGGCCCTGGAGAAGGCACTTTCCAGTCCTCATCTCAATAATCTTCAAGCCTCCATAGGTAGCATTTATTGCCCCCACTTCACAGACAGCCAAACCCCAGCTCAAAAGGGAGGTGCACCTCACTTGAGGTCACACAGCTCATAAACTCAGCAGCTGGGATTTGAACCCAAGGTCACGACTTCCATAGCCTGTGTTCCATCTGAGGCCCCAAATGTCCAAAGCTGCAGACATCTGACACCCACTATGGCGCCGGGTACTGTGCCAAGGGGCTAAGGCCACTGGAAGCTGGAAAGTCCCTGCCGGCCCAGGGGAAAGCAGAGGGAAGAAAAGGAAGCCAGACTCACTCGGAGGGCCCAACGCCAATTCCCCATCAGCTTCGTCACAGCCGACCCCAGCACGTAGCCCAGACCACTGTAACAGAGAGGCAAGGAAGATGAGCAGGGGGCAACGGTGCCCCTGCCCAGGATCCAGATCTCTGCAGGATCAGAGCTGAGGAGAATGAGCCCCATGAGACCTAGATTCCACTGCCCCTGGTCAGCTCACTGGTGACCTCTGCCCCGCCCCCATGGTGCCACTGCCTCCTCAGTTGAGGACAAACATATCCCACCAAAAGCCCCACCCCTCCTGCCCAATGCTCAGCCCTATTTGAGTCAGGCCAAGTCAGGAAACCTGGGTCAGAGCTCAGGAGCCTGATTCTAAACCCCTCTCCATCCTTCCTGCCAGGCGTGCAGGGCGCGGCCTGACACACTTCCTGCCTCACCTCCAGGGCCAGCTCCTCCCTGAGCCGGCCACATTTCTTCTTGCTCCTCCAGGAGTGGGAGCACACTAACCTGTGGGGGCATCCTTCTTATCACTAGTCCTCCCCACAGCCCCATCCCATGGCCACACGTCCCCATTAGCAGCCAAGGAAACTGAGGCTCAGAGGGGTAACCTGACATGACAAGGAAAGGGCAGTGCCGGGATTTAGACCCAGACCTCCTGGTTTGACCTCTCCAACCCCAGCCCAGTCCCTGTTCTGACTTGTTTCTGGCTCCGTTTACTGAGGGAAGTGGATGGGGGGACTGGGGGGACACCAACCTTCCAACAGGAATGAAGATGTAGAAGACGGCCAGCACTCGGGTCCGCTGGTCCTTCACAAAGAGGTCAGCCAGGACCGTGGGCGCAATGGTAGAGTAGCTGGCTGTGCCAGTACCCACAACTCCCCGGGACAGGAAGAAGAGCCAGGAATACTGGGCAAAATGGGCACAAGACCACAGTAAATTCCAGAAATTGGCCACGGGGCAAGGAAGGACCCGAGAATGTATCAGAGGGACCAAAAGGACTTCAGAACATAGGCCCCTCGGGGAAAGGGAGGGGTCCAGGGTTACAGATACTTGGCCCCCAGATATCTCCTCCACCCCAGATTTCCAGAGTCACACAGTTGCCCCCTGCTGGTGCCTGCAGCCACCACCTGCCCCACACCCAGGGGGCTCTTTTCCTGAGTCTTTTGCTTAACCAGGCCAGTTCCCCAAGGCAGGAGCTGTTACCCCAGCCCTATCCCATCCCCAGCAACACCAGGTGGAACTGAAGCCAAGGGCAACCACGGCCATGCAAGAGAGGAAACCTCCTGTTGGGAAAGTCTGACAGGAAGATCTGGGGGGCTCAGGCCTGGGCAATCTCTGAGTCAGCCTGGGCCAGAAAAAGGGCAGAACCATCCCCATCAGCTAAGAGGGAGGTAGATCAGGGAGGAAGCCCAGATGCAGGTCAGGAGGTGGGCACCTACCTGAGGCGAGATGAAGGAGCCCGACAGGCCAGCCCCTGACCAGAGCAGAATGCCAAAGCTCAGCGTGGCCTTGCGGCTGTGGCGGTCACCCAGGTAGCCAAACACAGGTGCAGACAGCAGCAGGCAGCCAATGAAGACTGGAGGAGACACACAAGGGGCAGCCTGGATCCCCCCTGCACAGTGACAATGGGTGGGCAGACAGCCCCACAAACCCTGGAAGGGAACTGGCTTAGATACCACAAACTGGCATCTTGGCAGTGGGCCCAGGGCATGAGGAAGAAAAGATGAGGTGAATGTCACAATCCTCAACCAACAGGCAACTCAAAACCTACAGCGTGCAGCGCCACTTGGCCTGGGCCAAATCCCAACTCTGCCACAGGCTCACTGTGCAGCCTCTCTGAGCATCATCCCAGCACTGGAAAAGCCCACACGCTCTCCCAGGCTGTGTAAAAGGGGAGATGAGAAGTGAACGTGGAGCCCCCGTGTGGACAGGCTGCCGTTTCCTGTCTTTACAAGCACATGCAACCCCTACGAGCCTGACACGGGGACTGATCTGATTGTCCCTCACACTTCTGCAGGCTGGGCCCTGCCTCCACCAGCAGATGAGGACAGTTTAAATGAGGACAGCTTAAATGAGCACGTTGACAGCAAATCAGAAATGATCCCAGGAGGCTCGGAAGTAGCTGGTTTTCATAAGTGGGTACATTATTCTCCAGACACTGATAGTGATGTCTATACCATCTTTTAAAAGAAGCTTTTACTAATATTGGAGACTGGATTAATGAATGTGTCTGCTAGTCTGTGAGGACAAGGAAACTGGGCACATGCTACACGGATAAGTGCACACACAACTTCTGCACTTTCAATAAACACTCCTCTACCTTTGAGGGATGGTAAGTCACTGCTCCGAGCTGGGAGAGCAGACAGGTGGAGAAAGTCAAGTCTGCACACACATGCGCTCACACACACACACACACACACACACACACACACACACACACCCTGCTTCCAGGGCAGTAGGCTTTGGAAAGTCCCACCCACCACGCCGTCTCCATTCCCTGAGCACAGATGATTGACGTTTCCTGAGCCCAATGAATGTCCAGGTTCTTCTCAGATCAGATTCCAGCTCCCCACCCCCACCCCCACCCCACGACAAGCTCTGGTGTTGGTTCAAGCTATATGCAATTGTGGAAATTAGGCCAGTTTTCATCTACAAAACCAGCAGTTTTCCCCCTGGTACCGGGGATCGAAGTCAGGACCTTGCAAGCAGGCGCGGTGCCACTGCGCTAAATCCCCGGCCCTCAAAACCAGCAATTTAACGTGGCTTAACCTAGTATTCCACAGAGAGTGATCTTTGGTGTCAGTGGCATTTAAAATTTTAATAGCTACTGCCAAAATAGGGCCCTAAAAAGGCTGTATCAATTTACACAAGATAGATGGCACTATCGCTGACACTTGAAAGGACCAATTGTCTTATTTTTTGTTCATCTAACGAAAAACAAATGATATCTGGCTGATTTTTTTTTTGGTACCAGGGATCAAATTCTGGTCCTTGCGCTTATGCAGCGAAACCACTGAGCTAAATCCCCAGCCCCTCTGGCTGATTTTTTAATCAGCATTGTCCTTATTCCTGGTGAGGCAGAGCAACAGTTTCTATTGTTTGTATTTTTGTCCATTTTTCTTCTGCGCTTTTGTTTTTCCTTAATGTATTTTGGAAGTAATTTCTCCAAGGCATTTTTCCCCACTGCTGGCCTGGAAATTGAACCCCAGGGCCTTTCCACTGAACTACATCCCCAACCTATTTGTATGTTTGTTTGTTTATTTATTTATCTGTAAATGCAAGTTCTAGGCTAAGTATGGTGCCACACACATTGCATTCCACAGGCCATGAGTTTGAGACCAACCTGGCCAACTTAACAAGGCCACGTCTCAAAAAAAAAAAAAAATCAAGTTCCAGGACTAGACCATTTGGGGCCACCACTTTCTGTGATCTTGGGAAATTCCTTAACTGTCTCTGTTCTCCTCCATCAACTCCACAATAGGAATAGTATTTCCTTTATCAGATTACTAGAGGAGTAGATAAAATAAAATGTGTAAGATATCTGAATGGCTTCATGTAAATGCCCAGTAAGTGTTACCTGTTATTAATACTAATTGCATAGTTTTAATCACCATCATGCAGAAGTGTTTAGCTATGATGTAGACAAATTTCTCAGCCTTCTTCCGGTGGAGGAAGATTGTTCCATGTCTTATTTATACATAAAACGTTACGAAAGGTTTATAAAATATTTTCCCAAATCTTTTCTATTTTCCTGGGGTATTAGGCATGGATCACTTATAGGAGCCAAATGCCTTAAATCTGCAGGTGGTCTGGTCATATGCAGGTGCCCGTCTTCCGGGGAAGGCAGGCACTCCTCACTCCTAGCATCTCCAGATTCAAACCATTCCAGTGACAGGTAGAAGGAATTAATGATCATACAGTTAGGAGGTAGACTCTACTTGCAGACTTCCAGGATTTGAATCCCAGCTTCAGCAAGACTCACAACCTAGCCGGGTGTAGTGACACATGCCTGTAATTCCAGCACTCAGGAGGCTGAAGCAGGAGAATTCCAGTGAGTTCAAGGCCAGCCTGAACTACAAAGCGAGAACCTGTCTCAAAAAATAACAAAAACTCACAACTGGGATGGGGATTTAGCTCAGTGGTTCAGCCACCTGGCTCGAAAGCACAAGGTCCTGAGTTTGATCCCTGGTACCAAAAAAAAAAAAACAACTCACAACCTCTCTGAACCCCAGTTTGATCATATATAAAGTGGGCATCATAATAATAATACCTGCCTATGGGATTGTGGTGAAAGTTGAATGAGTTTATATTTAAACCACTTAGTGCCTGGCATATGTTAAGGGCCAGGTCAGTGCTGGTTTGGTTTTTGTTGTTGTTGTTTTGCTTTGTTTGCAGTACTAGAGATTGAACCCAGGGCCTTAGCACTGAACTATACCCCCTGCCCTTTTTGTATGTTTTATTTTGAGACAGATTCTCACTAAGTTGCCCAGACTGGGCTTGAACTTGTGCACCCACCACACCTGGCTTAGTTTTAAACATCACTGGTTAACTCCAGTCATTTCTCTGTGCTGTGGGGTGCAGAGGGGGCCTGACCACAGCCTCCCCAGCCTCCCACTCCACTTTTGCAGCTCCTCCAAGCTCACTCTCAGACAGCAGCTTCCTTTGCTCTGCAGTTGTGTGGTCAAACAGCAATGTGAGTCTTAGGGTCACTGTGTAATGACCCCAGAAGGTGAAGAGACTGACTGAAGCCACCAGAGACCAACCTGATAACCAGGCCATCGAGCTCAATGTCCTTTCCACACAGCTATTTGTGCTACTTCAGCAAAGATGGCTTGTATCCCCATCTACCCCCCCCCCCCGCCCCCCACACACACACACACACACACACCTCTTCTCCCTCCATGGCACCTCGCTTATCAGAGGCCTATAGAAATAATCCTGATCTCCATAGTAAGAACCAGGAGGGGGAAATGTTGACTCAATTATCAACATAACTACCATTATTTATTGAAAAACAGAAATTACTTCCAAAATACATTAAGGGCAAACAAAAGCTCAACAGAAAAATGGCCAAATGACTGCCATTATCTGTTGAATCAAGAGGTATGTGGGGGTCAAGCTAAGATGGTCTCACTTTGGTTACAAGTATGAGTCAGTGCCAGCACCTGCCTGCCAGCCCTGAGAGGAAGGGGCAGTTGGAAAAGATCCCTGGTCTACAGTGTGGTTTCATAGGACTCAGAAAAGTTTATAGAACTACATGCTTCTTCACATGCTCTCAGATGACATTTAAAACATCTTTTATTGAAAGTCTAGTAGTTGCAAAGGATGTGATTTCTGGCATTTTTGTTTACAGTTGGGCCCCACATCCTCCCATTCTACCAACTGCACATCAAAAGTAATTGGAAAAAAATTATATCTACACTGAAAATGCCCAGATTCTTTTCTCAGTCGTTTTTTTCCTAGGTAATTAAATTTAACCATTTACATTATATCAATGTATACTAAATAACTTCTACATTGTATCACTTACTATAAGTAACCTAGCAATTTAAAGTTTACAAGAAAATGCACAGGTTCTATGCAAATACTATGCCATTTATAGAAGGGACTTGAGCATTTGTGGCTTTTTGTTTCCACGAGGGCACTAGAACCCATCCTCTGTTGGTACTGAGGGACAACTATATTAGTAAACTATTATTTTCATCCAAGCCCTCAGAGCTACAGATTGAGTTCCTTCAGTTTCTGGGACTCGTCTGCCATAGAGTCCAGGTGGCAAAGCCAGCCCTCCTTTGACAGGCCAATCTGATAAATCAGGCTGACAAAAATGTCGGTTTCATTTTTAAAATCGAAATAAATGTGCTGACACCCATCACTGCAACCACTATCTCACTTCCAAACTCAATGTGCAGATAAACAGCAGATAGTCACCCACAGAGGGCAGCTATGGAGATAAGGTCTGGCTGAAGGAAAGACCTCCGGCGCCCTTCTGCTGCAGCCTCTGCTCCGCTCCTTCCCCTTCTGCAGAAGCTGCACATCCCTGCTCTTCTACCTGGCAGCCTGGACTTTCCACACCCCAGAGCAGGGCATGCAGGATGGAGCTGCACGTCTGCCTCCCATGGCAGACAGGAGGCTGTAAATGTGGAGGTGAGTGAGGAGACCCTCAGGCTGGTGCAGGCCTGTTCTCAGGACAGAGACCTGGAGGCTTACAGGGCTGGAAGTGGGTCTCTCAACACGGTGTTCGTGTCGCCTCTGGAGTTTTTTGTGTGCCCCTCAAGGGACTTGTACCTAGTTTTTGAGCCCTGTGCTTCCTAAGGGATTGAGATAGTAGGCAGTTAAGAGGAGAGAGTAGTACAAAGCAAGACCCTGTCTCAAAAAAAACCCCTAAAATACAAAAATAAATAAAAGGAACAGAGATGGAGCTGCTTGGGGGAGGGAGCTGTAAGAAAAGCCACAGGGTATACTGCTGGAGGTTGGGGTGGACACATGGGTGTCATGTGTTGTGACCATGTGTGCACATGTATGCACATACGTGTATGGATGTGTGGATGTCACCACCCTTGCACTTATAGGGGACAGGTGAGCCTGTGCCCTGTGACTCTATTTGTCCCCACCTTGGACTGGGACATGTGGCTGTTGCCTGCTGTTGACTTTAGATTACCCTGGTCCAGAATCCTAAACACATCAGGCGATGTGCCTGTCAGCCTGATGGTTTGTGTTCTCATAGTTAGATTTTTCAGCTTTGTAAGAGAAAAGCACACATCAAGATTCCTCACACTGGGCATGGTGTCACAGGCCTGTAATCCCAGCACTCAGGAGGCTGAGGCAGGAAGATTATCTTGAGTTGAAGGCCATCCTGGACTCCATTGTGAGTTCAAGGCCATCCTGAACTACATAGTGAGACCCTGTCTCAAAAAAACAACAACAGCAACAACAACAACAACAACAACAAAACAGATTCCTCAGACCTCAGAGAGTCTGGTGCACAGCTGAGCTTACAAACTTGTAGGGAATGAGTGGCAGCTCCACCTTGGTGACTCAGTGCTCCTCCTGCGGATCCAACTCAGGCTACAAGGGCTGCTCACACCCTGGGCCTCAACCCTACTCTCTCCTCCCCCTACCATGACTGTCTTTCAAGAAGCCTGGCTCCTATCGCTCCTCTGTGTAAGGGACTCAGTGGAGCTGGAGCTGGGCACAAGAACCCCTGGAAGACCCCATCCTAGTGTGAGCCCAGGGCCCAGGCTCCAGGACCAGAGACTCACTCCTCACCTGTCTGAAGTAAACCAGCATTGCTGTCACTGATGTGAAAAAACTTCTGTATGTCCAGCAGCACTCCTAAGGACAGAGGGACAGCATTATGGAAATGAGTAGCTTCCAAAGGCAGCTCACTCTGAGTCTGAGGCAAAGCCATAGCTGACCAACAGACCACAGGGTGAGGCAACGGGGCCCTCTCTTTTCTTCCTCTCTTCCACATATTGGTACAACCACATACACACACAGAGCAGGCCTGCAGAGGAACACATGCACGCCAAACACACACTGTACCAAGCATCCCAGGCATATCTACATGCACATTTACACGCAAGCATGCCCTTGCACACAGACAGAGTTACACACACACATACAAGCAGGTATTCCCAGAGAAACACGTTTGCAGGGACACAGGTATACATACACACCCAGGAGGTTACACTCCTGGACAACGTGAACACTTTCGAGGCAGGTGCCGGAACCACTGAGCTAAATTCCCAGCCCTGTATCATTTATTTCTTATCCTTATTTAAGACTTTTTTTCCCATTAAGTTGATTGGTACATTTTAGGTATAAAATACAGTTACATTCATCATTGGGATCTTGTACCATTACATGAGTCTCTTGGTTCTTATTTTTTTTCCCCTTCCCCTGCCCTCCCTTCACCCCCTCCACCCTTCCCTATTTGCAAAGACCTTGTTTCCATTTTTTTCCTTTTCTCATATTTTTTCTTTTTGCTTCTTTCCTTTCCCCTACCTCTCCCACTTCCCTTGCTCCCTTAGACCTTTACTTCCTATTATACAATATCAATTATACATTTTTAAAATTACAATATCAAGGTCTAGGAGACATTACCACCGATTTTACAGAATTTAAAAGGATATAGAAGGCATATTACAAAAATCTGTTTTGAAATAAATTTGACAACTTCTAAGAAGTACCTTGGAAGACAAATTAATGAAACTAACTCTGGAGGAAATATAAAATTTGAATAGCACCTATTAAAGAAAGTATATTCCTAGCTTGAAAACCTACCTATATGACAACAACAGGCTCGTATACATTGTGAACACTGAGATGTACACATAGACACACACCAGGCATCCGTGCATATGCACACACTTAGGGCTGCCTTTCACGCTGTAGGCAGAGTGGCTGGCAGTTCCCTGTTGCTGCAGTGACAGCCCTTCTCAGTGACATCTGTGTAAACAGGAGCCCCAGAGTGCACAACACAGCAGCCCTGCTCATGCATGAACACCAGAAATAAATAGACACATGCAAGTACGTACATGCAAAGCCGCATGTGCCCCAGTCTGCACACAGGTACACAGAAGCATCTTTTTTCACACATGACACATGCACACACAAAGCTTCAAAGACTTTGGTCTGTCCTTCGTCCCCTTCCTGAGGGTGGCAAGTTGCAATGTACACTAGTTGGGTCTCAGAAGTCCCTCCGAGATCTTTTTTTTTTTTTTTTTGAGACAGGGTCTCGCTATGTAGTTCAGCTGTCCTTAAACTCACTGTGTAGTCCGGGCTGCCCTTGAACTCAAGGCAATCCTCCTGCCTCAGCCTCCTGAGTGCTGAAATTGCAGGCGTGCACTGCCTGAGAGGAAGTGGCGCCTCAGACACTGGGCTCTGTTCCCTGAAGTACCCTTGGCCTCTCAGTGGGATCTGAGAAAAGGCAAGATTTCTGGTCCCTGCTTATGTGAGTCATGTGGCTCTGGCCCTGTCGTTATTTTGAAGAATGTCTTAGTACATTTTGTGTTGCGATCACAAAATACCTGAGGCTGGGCACCTAATAAAGAAAACGGGGTTTTTTAGCTCACAGTTCTGGAAGTTAAGGAGCATGGCACAAGCATCTGCTCCCCTCTGGTAAGGGCCTCCTGGCAGATGGACTCACATGGCAGGAGCACTTTGAGAATGATAAGCAGAATGTGTAGAAGAGAGCTTCAAGGAAGGCCCCAGACACATTCATAACTTCCCATTGTCTCGGGAACTAATCTAGTTGCACTAGACCTGACCCAATCTCGTGAGAGGGCATTAACCCATTCATGAGGGCTCTGTGTCAACCCTGCCACTCTGGGGATCAAGCTCTTGGCACAGGGACTTTTGGAGGACAAGCCACATACAAAGCGAGCAAAGATCATTATCACTATCACTGAATCAGGAGATGGCTGAGGGCCAGGCCCTGAGCCAGGCATGCGCAATTGTCACCCTAAGAGGTGGGGACTATCACTGTCCCCATTATACAGGTTGCAGGACTGGAATGAGAGAGCTGGGACTTGAATCCCAGCCAGAAGCAGCCTGCTCTTCCATGCAGCAAGACAGGAGGGGATCAGAGCCTCACAGAAGTGGGCCTCACAGAAACACCCACACCAAGAAAGTCCTTCATCTATGCTCTAAGGCCTGCCAGCAGGCAAAGAAGGGGCAGGAATCAAAGGCACAAAGTAAGAGAGCTGGGCTGGGGATTTAGCTCAGTGGTGCCACCGCCTGCCTCTCAAGCTCAAGGTCCTCAGTTTGATCCCCGGTACCAAAAAACAAAAACAAAAAACAAAAAAAACAAAGTGAGAGAGCTTTGTTTAGGCATCTAATTTGGGTTCAGTTGCCGTGGCATCCAGGTATACAAACTGCTATGTGTTTTTTTTTTTTGGTACCAGGACGGAACTGGGGACCATGCCAGAACCACTGAGCTAAATCCCTAGCCCTGCTATGTCTTTTTTTCCCTTTCAATGACACAAAGAATATACAGTCATTGGAGAGGAAAATAAAATAGATGACACAGAGAAAATAAAATAAACAGCTAAATAAAGATCCTCTATAATTGCACTCATCTTTCATTTTTAGGAATAAGTTCCCCTGTTTTGTCTCCTCCAGCCTTGTGGTGCAGTGTGAATGACCAAAGGCCGTGAGTGAACTCACCTCTCTTACCTGTGTCTACCACACAGGCCTCTAACAAGCTGTTTTCAACAAGAGAATGTGAGCTGCTGCACAAAACACCTGTCCCCAGCAGCCCTCAGGGCTGAGTGGTGGTGCCCTCCAAGCCTCTGTTTTCACGATCACCATGGCCAGAGAAAGTCCCAAAGGGGAAAGGATCCCAATAGGCAGGGCTCAGGGTCTGATGGCCCAGCCAGAGGCTCCAAGGCCAACTGAGGAAGAACAGGCAGCCATCTCCCTGGCTCAGAAGGCTGTGGACTGATGCTGCCCGCCCACCATGCCTCTGTACATTTCCCACCCCTTCGTGCCCCCAGCCCACAGTCCAACTTCTCGGCTTTGGCCTTGCTCCCTGCAGGGATCTGCAAACTACCTCCTCAGCTCATTTTGCCTCCATTCAGGGATTCAAATACCATTATATTCTCCCCACTTAAAAAAAAAAAAACTGTCCTACCCTTGCCTAGCATACTCACAGCACTTGCCCTTGGCTCAATTCCCAGTAATGAAAAAATAATTTCCCATGGCTCCCTGGTGTCCAGGCCAAAAGTCCAAACTCCCACATTGCCACCAGGAAGCCCACGCTCTTGTCCTAGTCATCCTTTTTGGGACAACTTCCTGCACCCTCTCCTCTTGCCATCCCTGATCAGAGCGTGCATTTTCAGACCACATCCCCTCTCTGAATGTCCTCCTCTCCCCAACCCTTGGTACTGGGTGTCAAACCCAGGGGTGCTTTACCACTAAGCTACATCCTCAGCCTTTTATTTTGTTTTATTTTTAGAACTAGGGGCTTGCTAAGTTGCCCAGGCAGGACTTGAACTTGCAATCTTCCTGTCTCAGCTTCCCAGAGTGCTAGGATTACAACTGTGAGCCACCACACCTGGTTCTTTCCAGTCTTCTCAACCTTCAAGTTCCAAACCAAATACCCCCTTATCAGTGAGTTCTGCAGGAACCCTAAGTCACTTGTCCTCAGGGCTGCCCATCCTGCGTGCACTTGACTCTATCTTATAGTAGAGAAACTTATCTGTGTACCTTGTGTCCCTCTGAGCTCCTCAAAAGCCAAGACCAGGTCTGATGGGGTTTGCAGCCCCCAGAGTCTCATTCATTCTATGCCTCCGCCCTGGGGTGCTGAGCTGTTATCACCATCCCTGCCTTGGGGCTCTCTGGCCTGGCCTGTGCCTCTTTATCTGACCACATCTCTGCCTTGCAGGATTGCTGGTCCTGAGCCTCTCCCTACACCCAGGAGATGCTCATTCCTGCACTCAGGAACCATGAGGCTGAGTTCCTCCCAGGTTCCCGGGGGCCCACCAGTGGCTCCTGCCTGCAATTAGTGCTCAATTTTGAATGAATGGGTGATGAAAGAAAGAAAGGCTGGCTCTTAGATGAATGAATGAATGAGGCAGTGAATGAATGACGAGAAAAACAAGTTGAGTCCCTGATAATAAGAAATGAATGAATGAAGAGCCCCAGAAGACAGAACCAGGTTGCACCTCTGGGGCCTACAAGAAGCAAGGCAGAACGCGCAAGTTTTGACAATAGCTTCCTGTCCCACAGACAGACCCAGTACAAGTCATTGTCATCTGGAAGCTGAGCCAATCTGCTCTGCCCTCCAAAACCTCAACCCAGGAGCTCCACCCAGACCCTTGAGGCCTTTGCTTGCAAAGCCCAGTCCTCCCTGCGGTCCTCACCCACTACCCACCACTCCCTATGCCCTTGTCCCTAGGCTCACTGTGCTCCCTCTTAGCTTGGGAGGCTCAGATGGGAACCACCCCTCATGCAGCCATGACTGGAAATCACCTCCAAGAGTGCAAACCCCAGACACGTGCCCTAAGAGAAGAAAGTATGCTGGAGGCAAGGCCACCACTGATACACAGCCACCAACTGGTGGAACAGAGTGGGTACTGCCCCAAGATATTCACCCCTCCTCACCTGCAATGATGAACCAGTTCATGTAGTTCAGGAGGTTGATATAGCAGAGAACAGCAGCAGCCACATAAGCTCGCCAGCGGGGCAGGCTCCAGGGACTGTGCACAGAGGAAGAGGGACACTGACGTGAGACCAGGGCGTCTGAGTCCCTGCCTGCCCCCAGGGACTGGCCCTGCAGGCCTCCTTGCCCAGCACCAGGGCAGAGTGTGGACATCCTCCCAGCCACGCTAGCCTGCAGCTCCTGTCCCAGTCTGGGGACCAGCTGAGGACGTATCAGCTCGGCACAGAGTTGCTTCCTGTGGGCTCCCACGCTTCTGACCTCAGAGCAGCTCCTCTAACTGTTAGGCATATTATCACATGTTCCTGCTGAGCCTGTCACAGCCTCACCATGAGATTTCACCATCCTCCACCGCCAAGGCCCACTATAGGGATCAGGGCTCCTGGCACCTCCTCGCTGGTGACTGGATGACTCTGTGGTCCCCTTAATCTAGGCTATGGCTGCAATGAGGAAGGAAAGCTCCTGAGATAGGAAATGAAATGAGTCTCCACCAACCCTGCTTACTGTAAGCCAGCCTGGCTGCCCGCACAAGACATGGACTTTGAGTCCGGGACTTGAACCTGGGTCTGTTCCGGGAGGCCGAATCTTGGCCAGGAAAGCAGCATTGGGCCAAAGGGAAGGAAAGGCTGCTCGTTTCTAATGCTTTAACTTGGAGAGAAAAGATATCAGAGGGGGCAATCTACATAGAGGCAGCCTGTGTGCAAAACGCATCAGTGGTATCAAATCTAGGGGGATATTTCTGGTGAAGGGCAAGACAAGAGCATGGCCTTCAAGTGTCTCTTTAGATTGCCTACCAGTAGTAGCCAGCAGGGAAAGAGTAACTAAACAATAGAAGGAGCAGACATCTTGACAAAGATTAAAACATTACCTACTGGGCAGATGGCATCCTGTGCCTCCAGATGTAAAGCCCTGCATGGGTCACAGTGTGTGTTCCAGCCAGAAATGCATAATCTGGGTCCAGCCATAAGGAAACAGCAGACAAACCCAAATTGAGGAACACTTTCTTTTTTTAGAAGACTGTATTATTCAAAAGAGGGCTGAGGGTGTGGTTCAGGGGTAGAACTTGTTTGGCTTAGCACACAAGAGAGCCTAGGTTCAATCCTCAGTAGCAAGGGGAAAAAAACAAAGTAAGAGTCATAGAAGACCAAGAAAGACTGCAGGCCTATTTCCGAGTAAAGGAGATGACAGAGCTATGACAATTCTGTACAACACAGGAGCCCAGCCTGCGCTCTGTACTGGAGGGGAAATGCATGTCACTGAATCAACTGGTAAAACTAGAATGCAGACCATAGATTAAAGTAGGAAAAAATTTGACATCACTGTCAAATTTTCTGAAGTCAATAATTGTATGGTGATGGGACTGCAGTTTTTGTCTTTGTTTTTGTTCTGGTACTGGGGGTGGAACTCAGGACCTTGTGCTTGTCAAGCAGGTGTGGCGCCACTGAGCTACATCCCAGGCCCTACTGTATGGTTATGTAAGTAAATGTTCTTCCTCTGAGAGTATAGGAGTAAAAGACCATGATATATGCAACTTATTGTCTCAAGTGGTTCTAGAAAAATTAATAGATACCTAGAGTAAGAAAGCAAATAGGGCAAATGTTAATAACGGATGGATCTGAGTAAAGTTTAAATGGATTTCTTTGTACTATAAGTTTTCTATAAGTTAGAAATTATTTCTAAGTGCTGGGTGTGGTGGTGCATGTCTGCAATCCCAGCACCTGGAAGGCTGAGGTAGGAGGATCATTTCAAGTTTGAGGACAGACTGGATTACATAGTGAGTTCAAGGCCAGCCTGAACTACATGGTAAGACCTTGTCTCAAAAAAAAAGAAAAGAAATTATTTCCTACGTGAAAAAATGATAACCCAATTTAAAAATGGGCAGCAAACGAGTAATTTCTCCAAAGATATAAAAATGACCAACAAATACATGAAACGATGCTCAACCTTGCTAGTCATTAGGGAAATACAGCCCCAAACCACAGTAAGATTCCACTTCACACCCACTGTAATAAAAACAGGGACACAGAGAGGAAATAACAAGTGCTGGGGAGGATGTGGAGAAATTGTATCCCTTGAGCATTGCCAGTAGGAATGCGAAGTGATGTAGCCACAGTGGAAAACAGTCTGGCATTTCCTCAAAAACATAAACATAGGGCCAGGGAAGTAGCTCAGTGGCACCACTGTGCCTGCCAGGCAAGCTCAAGGTCCTGAGTTCAATTGCTAATACAAAAAAAAAAAAGAGAGAGAGAGAGATTTAAAAAATTGTAAACATAAAATTAGCATCTGATCCAGCAATCCCACTTCTAAGTATATATACAAAATAACTGAAAGCAGGGACTCAGATATTGGTACACCCAGGTTCACAGTAGCACTATTCACAATAGGCAAAAGGTGGAAACAAATGTCCATTATCTGAGCTGGGAATGGTGACATACGCCTGTAATCTCAGCCTGAGCAATTTAGTGACTTAATGAGACCCTGTCTCAACTGAAAAACAACAAAAGCCAGTTTCCCTGTATGAGCCTTGGTATCCTACTGATGGAAGGGTGGGACAGCTCTCGAAGGCCGGCTCAGCTTCTCAGGAGGGTGTGTGTCTAGGTTCCCCATGACAGGCACCCAGCTCCCACAAGGGGCCAGCAAGGACAGCCCGCTGTCCCCCCAGGAGTCACCATATGGAAGGAAAAGGCTCCTGTTGATTTGGACCTTCCACGTGCGAGGTGACCAAGAAGAACACAACAATGTTCACATTTACCTTGGCAGGAAATGCCAGTGTTGAGGAAGAAAAGCAAAGCAGGGACGACAACTCTGGGTAGGACTCAGAGCCTGCAACACAGAGGAGGGAAGGGAAAGGGGAAGCATGTGTCCAGGATGGTTGCAACCCCTTGGCCACAAGGCAGCCCCTCCCCTCTGCACAGGCAAGAGCTACCAGGTCTGCAGTTTTTGCAAAGGTGGCATGATATGTTCAGGGGGGTGAGGGTGTAGCTCAGTGGTAGAGCACTTGCCAGGCTGCATGAGATCCTGGGCTTACTCCCCAGGCCCTCGCCTCCAAAGAAACTGCACTTCTGGTATATCCCCCCCAAAGAATGGAAAGCGGGAACTTGAACAGATATTTGTATATCCACATTCATAGCAGGATTATTCACAATGGCCAGAAAGCAGAAACAAGCTAAGTGAATGAATTAACAATTGACAGACGGATGAATAAACAAAATGTGGTACCTACCTACAATGTAATATTATTCAGCCTTAACAAGGAAGGAGCTGGTGAAGTGGTGGTTGCCTATAGTCCCAGCTACTCAAGAGGCTGAGGCTGAGGTAGAAGGATCACCGGAGGGCAGGAGTTCAAGACCAGCCTAGGGCAACATGATGAGACTCTATCTCAAAAAACAAACAAACGGGGCTGGGGATTTAGTTCAGTGGTTCTGCTGCCTGCCTTGCAAGCGTAAAGTCCCGAGTTCGATCCCCGGTACCAAAAAATAAATAAATAAATAACAAACAAACGGGCCAGGGATTTAGCTCAGTGGTTCCACTGCCTGCCTTGCAGGTGCAAGTTCCCAAGTTTGATCACCGGTACCAAAACAAACAAACAAACAAACAAAAACTCCCAGGAAATTCAGGTATATGTTACAGGTTGGTCTGAAGGTATTGAGTTCTATCAATTGATTGCAAACAGCTGCATACATATGCCACAACATGGATGAACCGTAAAGATATTAATCACAAAAGGACAAATCCTGCATGATTCCACTTACATAGCATACCCAGGACGGGTGACTTCAGGGAGATTGAAAGTAGAAAAGTGACTGGACAGTTAGGAGTAGGTTGGAGAATAGGGAGTTATTGTTTAATTGGTTCAGAGCTCCAGTTTCAGAAAATGAAAACGTTCTAGACATGCATACCCATGACAGTTACACAACAAGGAAAATGTATTTAATGCCACTGAAGTGTACACTTAAAAATGGTTACATTGAACCAGGTGTGGTGGCGCATGCCTATAATCCTAGCACTCAGGAGGCTGAGGCAGGAGGATCAGTGCAAGTTCCAGGCCAGCCTGGGCTATATAGCCAGACCCTGTCTCAAAACAACAACAACAACAAAATAGTTAAATTGGCTAAGCATGGTGGCACATGGTTGTAATATCAGCTACTCTTTAAATTGGGGACTGAGGATATAGCTTATGTGTTGGACCCTGAATTCAATACTCAGCAACACAAACACACAGACACACACACACACACACATACACACACACACACACAGTTGAACTATATATTTTATGCTACATATTTTTACCACAATTTTTTTTTAGACAATTTCTTGCTATGTAATTGACCTCAAACACAGCAATCCTCCTGCCTTAGCCTCCTTAGTTCTGGGATTAGAGGCATGCACAACCACACCTGGCTACAATTATTTAAAAAATAAATGTGGTACCTGGGATTTAGCTCAGTGGTTCCACCGCCTGCCTCAAGAATGCAAGGTCCCAAGTTTGATCCCTGATACCAAAAAATAAATAAATAAATAAATAAATAAAAATAAAATAAATGTGGTGACTGTAATATTAAAAAAGTGATAACAGGGCCAGGATTTAGCTTGGTGGCTCCATGCCTACCTCACAAACACAAGGTCCTGAGTTCAATCCCTGGTACCAAAAAAAAAAAAAGTGATAACATTCTAAATTCCCAGTTTCAAGGGCTGGTTAAATAAATAATGGTACTACCTCCACACAATGGAATGTCACCCAGCCCACTACATGCTGTTAGCCTGTATTGACATAAAATATGTTCAGGACATGATAGTAAAGTGCAAATAAAAGCAACAAGATGTATTTGATGATGAGCCCATCAGGTAATAATAATAAAAGGAGCACTTGTTTTCTTTTGGGGTTTGTTTGTTTTGAGACAGCATCTCTCTATGTAGCCCAAACTGGCCTTGAACTCACTATGTAGCCCAGCCTGGCCTCTAACTCATAGTAGTCCTCCTGCCTCAGCCTCCTGAGTGCCAGTATTACAGGCGTGCACCACCATGTCTGGGAATAAAAGGAACACGGTGAGTTGGCCAGTCAGCAGCACTCATCTGGCTGTTTCCCCTCATGAACTCTGACTAATGCAGAAATGAACTGAGGCATTTGTTTGTTTATTGTGGTGCTGGGGATTAAACCCAGGGCCTCAGGCATGCTAAGCATACGCTCTCCCATTGAGCTTGTTATGGTTTCACATCCCTTGAAAGCCTCATGCACTCAGCAGTGGGGCTTTTGGGGTGATTGGATCACAGGGGAGCCATCCTCATCAGCGGGTTAGTCTACTGATGTGCTCAGTGCTGACTGAGGTGCTAGGAGGTGGGACCGGGGGTGTGGCATGGAAAGATGCATCTCCCTTCTGGCCCCTCCTTTCTCTCTCTGCTTCCTAGCCACCTTGGGATGAGCTGCTGTCCTCCACACAGACCCTCAACCATGTTGTTTCTGCCCTGGAGCCTGCCAGCCAGGGACTGAAACTTCTGAAACCATCATCCAAAATAAACCTCTCCACCTTTTAAAACTGTGAGAGTTGAATATTGCATCTCAGTGACAAGGTAAATAACTAAGGCAAAGCTATATCTCAGTCCT